TGATGCATACTGCAGCAGATTCCAGGATCATTATTCTGAGGAGCTAACTACTCCAACTAAGGACAGCAGCCAACCATTAAATAAATAATCACTAGGTTCAGAATGGAAGAATCCACACAGGTAAAATCCATTACTTACTCTACGGCTGTCTGTTGCAAAACTGCATGTCCAGCATAATTTAGGATGATGGTCTTCAATGGCTAAGGGTGTGCAACTTTATGTTGTCAGAATACTGTACTGTGTTTCTCAAATTTTAAGATACATCAGAACCATCTATAGGCTTATTAGAAACACAGGTTGCTGCCCACCTCCTTGAATTTCTGATTCCATGGGTCTGGGGTGAGTTGGTGAATCTGCATTCCTAACAAGTTATCAGGGGATCTGATGTTGACAGTCCATCCAGGGACCACACTTTGGGAACCACTGCTGCACTTAAGTGTTTATGAATAAAGATATTTGGAGAGAGAGTAGTAGAGTCTCATGGTGAGTGTGGCAGAGCTTTCATATTTATTTACTATTCTTCTGCCAAAGGAATCAAAACATTTGAGTAACAGGTAATTTCATGGTTGACATTTTAAAATGGTCCTTTCGAACATCTTCCTTTGCTAATCTAACCAATAAATACAGCAGTAGTTAGCCAGTAGAGGGACAACAAGCTATCCGAACAAAGTTGAGTTATTAGATACGAAAGAGGAAGAAAAGATTCTTGACTATCATAAACCAACAAAAGGAATGGTTTAAACATTGGGTTTAACACTGGTTTAACAATGGTTTAAACACTGGGTTTCTTTGCACAAACAAATTTAGGATAGTTTGGTAAAAGCTTTTGTACAATTTTGGAAACGGACTTCAGATTAAAGGGTTAAACACACTTATTTATCTTCATTCTCCCCTAAAAAGATGGTAAAAGAACATAAAGGGATAAAACGATAGGGGCAAAGAAGATAGAGGAGGAGTCATCAGCAAAAGTTATATTTCAACACAATTCTGAAGAATAGAGAGGGTCGATGGAGGAGTGAAAACTAGTTTAACAGAACAGTGAAAGCTACACTGTAATATGGCCATAGAGGTCAGTACAGAAAGAGCCCAATTCCCTACAAAACCCTAGCGTGGTCTGGGCCTTGGAGATGACAGAGATCACTAGAAGAAAATACTGATGAAGGGCCCCAGGATCCCAGAAGGTGAGGCAGAGGTGAGCAGGTAAAAGCAAGGGGCCAGGTCAATGTTGGCACTTGGAGTTGCTGGAGTCTCAGGTGCCCTGTCCCACTCCTCGCAGTCAGCAAGAGAAAGAGGAGGGAGGCTTGCCCAGTAGGCACAAAGAAGGCAGGAATAAGGCACCTGCAGGAAAGAAAAGAGTGTGAAAGATTGCATCCTAAGCAGTTACTCATCCAGACCTCTTCCCCTGAACTGCTTCCAGAATGCTGGCAGCCAAGTGAATGCCTCCTCAGGCAAGGGATTGTAAGATATTTCTCATGAGAAACTGACAAGCCCCAAAGAAAAGACATCTAGTTTCTGACATTTGAGGTATCTTCCCATGAAAAAATGAGCTTTCGTCTGATCACCATACAGCAAGCCCACCAGTGAGCCCATACTTTTCTCACCCACATACAGAGTTTCTGGTGAGGTTTCTATTACCTCATTCCTGAGAGGAAAAGGTTTACAGACAGTTGACGAAAGCCTCTAATGTGATGGGACTAAAACAAATACATGAGAAGGGAAGCTAGAGAAAGCCAAGACTAGGCAGGAGGCAAAGGATACAGCCTATCTCGAAAGATAGAAAAAGTTAGTGCGACTGTGACATGATCACTACATTCTATTTATAACAGACAGCATGAAATGAGCTCTTTAAATAGTTGAGATAACAACTGCGGTAGAAAGTAAAGCAAGAAAATATCCTCCAAAATAGGGCAAAAGATGAAGAGATGTGCAACAGGATAAAACAATGAAGAACATTCTGAGATTAATCCAGTTTAAAAAATAAATAATAAGATTGAATAATAATTGATAATTTAATAAGTGCCTGATACTGTTCTAAGTGAATCAGACGTATTAGGGAGGTAACTACTATTATTATCTCCATTTTATAGATGAGGAAACTGAAGCACGGCAAAATTAAGTGACATTCTCAATAGTAACACTGGAAGCTAGAAGATAAAAGAACAATTTCTGCCTGTAATTGCAGCTACTTGGGAAGTTGAGTCAGGAGGATCACTTGAGTCCAGGATTTTGAGGCTTTTGAGGCTGCAGAGAGCTATAACCATGGCACTCCAGCTGGTGTGACAGAATAAGAACCTGTTTTTAAAAATTTAATTAATTTTTTTTGAGACAAGGTTTTGCTCTGTAGCCCAGGCTGGAGTGCAGCGTCATGATCTCAACTCACTGCAGCCTTGACCTCCCTGGGGTCAGGCAGTCTCCTTACCTTAGCCCCCTGAGTAGCTGGGACTACAGGTGCGCACCAGTATGCCCGGTTAATTTTTGTATTTTTTTACAGAGATGGGGTCTAGCTACATTGCCCATGCTGATCTTGAACTCTTGGACTCAAGTGATCCTCCTGCCTTGGCCTCCCAAAGTGCTGGGATTACAGGTGCAAGCCACTGTGCATGGCCTAAAAAGTTTTTTTAATTAAAAATTAAAATAAATAAGTGAAAGAGCAATTTCTATAAAATCATGAATGAAGAAGTTCTGGTTAGAATTCTACACTTGGTCGAACTCTCTATTAAAAGTAAAAGTTGAATAAAGACATATCTAGTATGTAAGAACTCAAATTTTACCTTCTGTACCTTTTCTTGGGCTGTTACTAAAACATGTGCCATGGAAAATGAAGCAGTAAACCAAGAAAGAAGGCACAAAACACAGAAATGGGTTTCTCACACTACAAATTAAGGAGTGTCCCAGGCTGGGCATGGTGGCTCATGCCTGTAATCCCAGCACTTTGGGAGGCCGAGGCAGGTGGATCACCTGAGGTTGGGAGTTCTAGACCAGCCTGACCAACATGGAGAAACTCCGTCTCTACTAAAAATACAAAATTAGCTGAATATGGAGGCACATGCCTGTAATCCCAGCTACTTGGGAGGCTGAGGCAGGGGAATCGCTGGAACCCGGGAGGCAGAGGTTGCGGTGAGCTGAGATCGCACCATTACACTCTGACCTGGGCAACAGAGAGAGACTCTGAAAAAAAAAAAAAAAAAAAAAGGAGTGTCCCAGGATGACACTTGAGCAGTGGATTCACAGAGCAACTCATCTCCACTGAAACAGTAGAACAATGAATTTCTGGAGGAATTGTTTTCAGGGGAAAATTGGAATTGATTTTTTGATCATTTGGAAAATAAATATGATAGTCATTTGATAGATCAGTTGTAGAAAAATATCAGGATAGGTGCATAATAAATTAAGTAAATAGATACAAGTTTTTATAAGAAAGAAAACAATAATAGTACACTATTGGCTCTGTTGTCATTGCTACTGGCATAGTCACTTAGCTCCTAAACTGTGAAAGTGCTGTGTTGGAAGGAGAAGTTGCTTGGCATGAAAGAGCTAAATCCTAATTTGAAGCAACAGGTAGTCAGAGCACAACATCTATTGGCAAATCAAGAGAGGGCAGTATAAATTATTTAGAAATAGGGAGGTGAATGACAGAAGAGACAGATAAAAGTGGAATGTGGCTACCGCTAAAAAGGAGAGGAACATGATAAGTATTGCATTATCTTAAAATATTATATTAAAATAGTACCTGCATTGTCTTAAAATATATTAGTTTCTAAGTGTGTGTTTATATTGTTTTAAAAAAATACAATTTTGAAATTTATTTGTTGAAAATGGACACATGGAACAAACCAAACCTTGTTTTATCGTGTAATTTTCAGAAAATATGTGATCCATAAAGATTAAAAGAAAAGTTGTATTAAGTCTGGCAGCTTTAGTATTAATTTGAAATAAAATATGGTAAGCTTTCCACGTCCTCCTTTGTTTCCACAATCCATATGTACGAGCTAGATCCCAGTCAGAACTTCCACAAACACTTCACTCTTTGGTAGCGGCGGTTATAAATTACACCTCTGCTAATTTGCGTTGTTCCCAACCAGGAGAAACATTACCACAAAAAAAAATCAGTTTCATCCTGCAGTGTTTCCGTAGCAACCATATTAAGCTGGAAGAATAAAGCACCTTTGTAGCGGTAGCGTCTATTGAATTACAATGTAAATGTTGATGCCTGCCTGGAAACGTCAAATGACAACAGGTTTACAGAACGAATTCAGTGGTTGTTTGCAGCTCTGGAATCCCAGGCTGCAGAGTTGAGATCGAAGAGGTGCGCCTGGCCATTTTAGTGTCCATTCAACCAAATCTCCTCACTCCATCAAAACCACGCCACTCCCCACCTGCCCAGCTCGTAAAAGGATGCTCACCTGCTTGAAAATCTGTAATATATCTGATGTCTTTTACACAGCAGGACGCGAAAAGTGTTTGTTGTGGATAAGAATGTTAAAAATTCAATTACGCAACAGACCAAACTTTGTGCTTCTTTCCCCCTCTCAGCACAAAGTAACTTTAGTCCCGTCCTCTTCTGCCACTGTCAAACAGCCCTGTTACTGTGGGCATTAAATGCCTTGTGGCGTACTGCGCATTTGATTCTGGTTGACTTGGGATACCTGAGCTCGGCTCTCATTAGTTCTTCCGCTCGACCCATAATCCCTAGTGTTTGCAGGTGTTGCATTCCCCCAACCCCTTTCTTCGCTTCAACCAGTACCCCCGACCTTCCCATCCCTGCCTTGGAGAAGGAGGAAAACGCAGCTTGAGGTCTACTCGAAGAACTGACCCTCAGCTCTCACAGGCTGCCGCCGAGCTGCAAGCATGCCGCCGCTCCACTCAGGTAAACTTCGGAGTGAGTTACCTTCACTTGGAGAAGGGCCTTACCTGAGTGCGCCTCTGCCAATGGCAGCTCACCTGAGGGAGCTCCCCAGCCAATCATCGCGCAGCTCGTCCCTCGGGCTTGTACCCTTTAGTGAAAGAATTCAGCTCCTTGCGAGAAAGTTACCTGTGGCCGCCCAAGTCCGCCACTTTCTGCTCTGTGTCTGCCCATTGCCACGACCCAGGAGGACTCCGCGCCGCCCGGCCGCCTCCGAGCTCGGGCCCCATGTGAGGGGCCCCCCCTTATCCCACCTTTCCGGCTAGGTGAGGGCGCGAGCGGGCGAGCGAGCGAGAGTGGTGAGGGGGGACGGAAAAGCAGAATTACCTGTAGCTCTTGTTCTGCCATCTCGGGCGCTCTCACACACCTTCACCTGCACAGACTTGAAAGTCCAGTTTCACCAGAGGCTGAGGCTCCAGGAAAAGGGGAGCAAGTTCATTGGATCAAACATGTCACAAGAGTCGGACAAGTAAGTGGATCACACGCGCCGGCTGCTGCTACTACCACTTTGGGCTGATGGCAACTGGTTTGTTATGTTTTTGTTTTTGTTTTTAAGTTGCTATTGTTGGTATTTTTCTTTCTTTTTTCTTTTTCTTTTTGGTGGATCCAGACTTTTCCGCATTATGTTTCTACCTTGATTAAGAGGAGAAACCCTACAACAACGTGAATATTTAATATCCCCTTTGGGCCTTGATAGTAAAAGTGGGTTTTCCTTTTCCTTCCTCCCTTAGGAATGGTCTCAGCTCCCGCTCCCGGATGAATACTTGGATATTGCCAGAGGTTTTGGTAGATGGGCGCGGGAGGCCTGCTCTTCCCCCTCTGCTTTAGCTGCTCCCACCGATCTGGCGTTTAGGGCCATTTGGAAGTTCAGCTGAGTTCCTTCGATTTGTCCAAAGGGCCTACTGGAAAAGTGGGGCTTGGCCGCTTTTGTGTGACCGCAACAAAGAGCTTTTATAGCGAGGCAGAAACGGCCATCTTCTCGTACCGGGCAGGAGGGTGGGCGTGAGTGCGCGCCCGCCTGTGGCCCCGAAGGGAGGCTAGGCGCTGGGAGGCCGGGGGGCGCGGGGGCGGCCGGCGCCGTCCCCCACTCCCTCGACATCCCGCCTCCTTCCTCCCCTCCCCCGCCTCCCTCCCCCAGGTCCGCCCCCGCATTGTTTGGCCACCTTCCTCAGGTGCCCGGGGGAAAGGACGGTTCGCAAAGTGGGGGAACTCATGTGAGGCCTCGAGTTAGGGCCTCGGCGGGGCGCCAAGGGGCGCCTGCTGCTGAGCGATTCACCCGCGCCCCGATGGCGTCTGCAAGCCCCTGGAGCTCGCGGCCTTCCACGCAGTTGGCCGCCAACTCGGACGCGGCAGACGGGACTGCGTGGGGCGCGCAGAGCCTTCTCTGGGTGCTCTCGCCGTCAAGGCCGGGGGCTCGGGGCGGCGGGAACGCTGGGCTCGCGTCCTTCCCGTCCCGGACAGGCACTCCAGACGCGCCGGCGAGCCACAGCCTGCGCGGCCGGAGTCGCCCGCGGGTCACCGGGCCCGGTCCGGCCGCGTCCTGACGGCCTCCCCGCGGGCCGGCCCCCGCCCTCGGAAGGCTTTGTGCGATCCGGGGGAGGTGGGGCCTGGGCGGGCGCGGGAGGGAGCCGGAGGTGGGTCCCGCGGCCTTTCTCGGGATTCGGCGGGGACACTCCCTTCCCCCTCCTCTCGGGCGCGTCCGGGCCTGGGAACTGGCTGCGTCCTATTGGAATGCGCGGGGCCGCCCTTTTGCTTTCCCCAGTAACTTTGCCGTGGCGTTGCGGCCACCCCGAGGTGGCCTTCCTGAAGGCGTGTCGCCGGAGAGGGCCGGTGCCCCAAGGCCGCGGGCCGCCGGGCCTGTCATGGAGAAGTGGTGGGGACCCGTCCCAAGTTGAGGGACCACGAGGGAGGAGTGGGAAGGCCCAGCGGATCTGTTCAGGGGTGAAGGGGAAGGACTAGCTTCAACATAAAGCCGCTTGGTAGGTTAGGCGAACCTAAGAAAATGCGCTGTCATACTTAACAAGCAAAAAACTGCCAGATAGTTGTACCCCGTTAGCCACCGATGAGGAATTAACCGAGTACAGCATACCGGAGGGGAAGAACTAGCGTTACCAACACAGGAGAGGGTCTGAGGCAGGGTAGGAAGAGGAGAGTGTGTGGTCGTCTGAGAACACCCCCAGCTCTTCCCTAAATCTTTCTAGTCTTTAAGGAAACACGACTCGAGTTTGAAATTTTCAGTAGCCAAATCCCGAGGCGACAGCAAGTTTTTGGGGTTTGTTTTGATCCTTGCGTGCGTCAAAGATGATTGCAATCTGAATAGTTTAATTAATCGCGCAATTAACGTTTAGTTTGCTTAGTTTTGTGATACAACAGGACTCGAATTCTGAATGAAAACGAGTCGGTCTCTATTTTCACCAGTTATACTTAGCAGCAATAAGAACAATGTGTTTACCACCAGAAATAAGTACTGAGCGCCCGCAATCTGGTTTCACCACACACATCACCTAGTTTTTATGGGTGATAAGTATCTGGGATTACGTCTGCTTACATTTAATGAACGTTGCTTTTATCTAGTCGTGGTTTCCAACACGAAATTTTGTATCCTGGGAAAAGTAATGGTTACAATGGTGCAAAGAGACAATTCGACCTGGTTTGTTTCTCTCTCATTGGGCTGTTGAAAATGCTTTAAGTCAATACATGACTTCTGGATCATTTCTGCGAATTCTAGCCCAGTTTTCTTAATATTAATATTCTAAGGGAGCCCTGGCAGGGGTGGGTCTGAAGCTTATGCAACTATGTGTGTGAGATGCGGTGGGGACTGTAAGGAAACGGGCCCCTGGGCACACCATGGGGCTTCTTTCCTGAGCAAGTGAGAGGCTTCGTGAGCCTCATTGAAAATCCGCCTTACGAGGCCTGTCTGTAGTTTCTGGAAATAACATGAACGAACACACACTGGATATTCTTTCATAATCCCATTAAGATTTAGGCAATCTTTGGGATTGCACAGGATGATATTTCTGGTTAACAAGTCTGGACTGAAGTAGCATGGTCTTTTTTATGGTGTGGACTTTTCAGATTGAAACATTCTGCTTTTGATGTTCTGCAGTGTTGATGCTATCGCCAATTAAAACAAAGTATTTTTAGGACATTTTGTCTTTGTACATATTTTAAAATTCTCTACTCCATCTTAAATTTTATGAAGATTTAAGATCTTTGTCAGCAAGCATGTGTACAAGCGAAACAATGCTAAATTAAGAAACTCTTATTTTACTGCCAAAATGTATAAAATATATTCAGAGAACATATAGGTACTATGTGATTTGATACTCACAGGTGTTTTTCATTAGGTAAGTGTATTTTCTGGTTACCTACTATTCGTAACACATTCAGATAGGCGTAATAGAGACATGCGAAGATGGATAAGATGAGCCCTGTTCTCAGGGGGCTTAAACTGTAGTGGAAAGCAACTCCTGGACAGACATACTTTTAATAAACACAATGCCTAATAGTTACAAAAAATACAATAGTTACAAAAAGGTTTTTAAAAGTACAGTACAGGGGCTGGGCACTGTGGCTCAGCCTGTAATCCCAGCACTTTGGCAGGGTGAGGTGGGTGGATCACGAGGTCGGGAGATCAAGACCAGCCTGATCAACATAGTGAAACCCTGTCTCTACTAAAAATACAAAAAATTAACCCGGTGTAGTGGTGGGCGCCTGTAATCTCAGCTACTTGGGAAGCTGAGGCAGGAGAATCCCTTGAATCTGGGAGGCGGAAGTTGCAGTGAGCTGAGATTGCGCCACTGCACTCCAGTCTGGGTGACAGTGCAAGACTCCATCTCAAAAAACAAAAACAATACAGGTCATGACCAATACTGCCTCTCCCTACTCATCGCATTTTTGCCTATGATAATTTTAGTCATTTTGTGTGTTTTTTGTTAAGGGGTCCTGCTATTATTCAGAAAATGGCTGAAGTTATAGGTATCTCATGTGGATAACCTTTCAAGTAATGGGATGACTCTACATTTTAATGAAACTCTCTAGTCTTTAGTTTTATAAATGCATATGCTTGTTTACATTTGGCTATGCAAAATATCTTTTAAGGTCGGAAACGTCAAGAATTTATCATATCTTTTTCAAACCAATACATATACCCTTTCACTTTTTGAATGAGTATGCCTTGAACGCCACTATATACTTGGCATTGAGATTCACTGGTGAATAGAACCTAGTCCCTGCCTGCATGGTACTTAGTGTGTGTTGGGGGGGGGCCGGTGGGAGGAGGGGGGGCGGCGGGGCGGGAAGGGGCAGACTTGTTGACAGTAAATCAACAAAAAAGTAAACATTAATTAGATGATAAGTGCTATGAAGGAAAGCAAAACTGGCTGGAAGGACTGAGAATAATGGGGGAGGTCTTTTGTATAGGGTGATCATGGACAGCTTCTCCAATGAGGTGAGCTTTGAGTGGAGGCCTGAGTGCAGTGAGGCATCAAGCCCTGAGATACCTGGGGTAAGAGTGTTACAGGCAGGTGGAAGAGCAATTGCAAAGGCCCTGGGGTGACAGTGTGGTTAGACGGTCTAGGACCAGAAAGGAGCTCTGTGTGGGTGAATCAGAGTCAGAGATAATGGCACTATCAAATAAAGATGGTCAGTTCTCTACGTATTAATCTGGACAGTTGCATACTCAAAATGGTCAAAATTGTTCTTGTAAGTGGTCTTGGTAATCAAGAGATAGCAATACCCAATGAGTAAATGATGAACCAGCTAATACCATCAGTCTTGTTTCTTTCCCTGAGTATCACCAGTTTAATGGTGAGGGGTCCAGAGTTCTGTTCCCTACAACGGATTAAATCTTGTACACTTCTTAATTCAGAGATGAATAAATGCACACACTCTGGAGGATCCCTGAGGATTCAAACTAAAGGAGACAAAGTACAGATAGTGTTTGCTCAGACACACCCACCTCCCTAAAACTCGTAGCATAACCTACCTTCAGCTACCATCTCCACTCCTTAACATTAGGCTTGTGCAAGGTAAAATTTGCCCTTGCTGCCTTCCTCTTGCTCTTGTTCAGTTTCTATAAACTGTATCCATCAGAAAACATGAACTTGTCCACTGTGTCTGGAGGAACACTGCATAGCATGTGCTTTAGTGAGTTTCCCATCTTCAATGAAGTAAACTGACATACAGGCAAAGTTAACCTAACTGAAAAACAAGTTGAAGATGATGCACATGCTTAAAAATAGGAATCTCCACAGGAATTTCTAAAATGATTGCATCTCAAACTCACCTGAGTTTGAAACATATAATATATCATCTGAGGCACCCTGGGTCCCAACCCAGCAGTGTTGAATTAGATTCTCCAGGAGAAAGCACAGAGAATCTGCATCTAAACAATGTTCCAGGCATTATAATTGCCTTAAATAGGACAACACTGCTTCAAATGAAACTTAATGCTAGTTTACATAATAG